GTACAAGTAATAAAAAATAAATCATAAAACAATTTAGAATAATAAAAATAATAAACACTACAAAAATCAAAATAAACACAAAGGAAATTATTAATGTTTCCGTTTTTCATTGTAAGAAGACTTGCATCTTCGTAGTTTTGTATTGTTCTTATTTAGCATTTTTATCCATCCTAATTTAGTAATAATAAAGATAGTAAAGCTAATTTATCATATTAAAAATTTAGTTTCCTAGTGATTATAGTAACAATTAAATATTGAGAAAAAACCAATTCATATAAATTACAATACTTAGACTCACTAGATTAACCATAAAAATTACCAACAACAAAATATTCAAACCATATATGGAAACACTATTAATCACATAAAAGCATTGTGGACAAAATGCCAAAAAAAGAAGAAGAAATAAAACTCAAATATTCAAAGGAATTAAAAATTGAATTTACATCAAAGAAGACAAAGTTACTAACCAAAAATGTCGTGACCGATTTAAGTTGCTTCCTTTCTTTCTTCTCGGTCAATCCTTCCTCCTATTTTAGTACAAGAGTTTCTTAGGTTGATGGAGGGCTTTTAGGAGATACTTCGTTGTTGTTCTTCGATGTGAAAAACAACAACTTTAGGAGATTTCTAATGAATTGTTGATTTTCTAATTGTTGGTGAATTGTTGATCACCAAAATTTTGTTGATGGAAACTTCAGGGTTTCTTTGTTGTTGTTCTTCGATGTGAAGAACAACAATTTTTAGGAGAACTCTAGTGAGTTGTGGATGATTATGAAATTATGGATAAAAAATAGTGTGAAAGAGTGGTCTATTTATAGATTTGAAATTAGGTTAAAGACACCTCAAAAGGGAAATAGTCCACACCAAGAAAAGCCTAAAATTTATGATTTTATCTTGGTCAGCAAGTTTACAAACTCTGACCAATGAGAAATTAGTTTTGTCAACATATGACCAATCAGAAAGTGACAAATCAAGTGATTTTATTGTTTTTATATTTATATGATTTTTGGTTACTTTTTAATTAAAAATTGAAAAAACTTTTTTTGAAAAATTATTAATTAAAAAGCACGAAAATTATAATTTAATAATAAAAAATTATTTTTTGGGAAGATTTATACCAATTGAGATTTGATTGAAATTTGGTAGACAAGATTATGAACTAGACACTTTTGTGATTTTTTCTCAATATTGTGATTGATTTTGTGATTAACCAAAAAATAGTGTAACAAGACTTGAACTCAAGACATTCCTCTTATAAGTCTTACTCCATTATCAACTATGCTACATTATTCACTTGAAATAAAAAGTCAATTGAAAACACATGAAGATGATGAATTATTTATTTATTCAAAAATACAAATAATTTGATATAGATCATTAAACAGGTTGGGAAGCGAATATTTATCAAAGAATATTATAAAATCAATATTTTGAAAATATTATTTGACCGTAGAAAATAAAGGACAATCAAATTTGGGGTATGACACTTATTTTTGAAAAAATTAAATAATTATTCGCATTTCTCTCAATCATCCACACATACCGACAAGTAGGTTTTCCTTTTTTAAATGTATAAGTTAGTACAACAATTTTACATAATTGATATAAATGAGGTGTAGTTTTACTCTATTAGGAGACATTTGTGGTATAACCTCATAAACTCTAGAGATTTTTATGAGTTTATACCTTGTTTTTAGGTGTATGAAGTATACCTCCATGGTGTTACAATGTATATTTTTTAATAAATGTGTTACCCATATATGAATATTTATCACATTTAGAATAAAATATGGTATCCAAATATAAATAAACACCTCGTTTAGTACAAAGTGTTATACCTAACTATGATTAAATAATGTATTCAATACGAAATATGGTACCCAATGATAAATACCCCATTTAGCATAAATGTGCTTTGTGTTTTGCACATTACATCATATTTAACCCAAGTATACGATATACAATATTTTCCTTTTATGTGAAATATACCACATTTAAAAAATTGTTAAAATGATACTGTATATTTCTTTCACTTAATGTATGCAAGATGTATTGTGAAATCTCTTCTACCGCTTTTTTTTGCCTTGTGTTGAATTTTGGTGAAAATTGAGGAGATTTGAGAGTAAAATTTTTGGAATGTAAATCATGAAAGGGATAAAGTTAAAATATTTTTAAAAAAGGTTAAATATGTCAGGGGTCCTCAGAAATATCTCATAATTCAATTTTAGTCTCTCTAAAAAATTCCTTCGAACAATGGTCTTCACAATCTTGTTTGTCCATAGTACTGGTCCCTCCCGTTAAATGCTCCTAACAGAAGATGAGGTGGAGTGGCACATGGGAAATTTTTTTGACACGTGTAATTATGATGTTGGATTATATTATTTGAATTTTTTTATTTATATTTTTTAATTTTGATTTGTTGAAAAAACCCTGAAATATTTTCTCTTTCATTCGTAAATCTAAGTTGTCTTCTTCTTTTTCTCTAAAATTGATCTTCTTCTTCCCCCACAATATTATGCAATAAGTTCCCATCTGAAAAAATTTGTTATCATATTTCCTCATACCAATCATTCTAATCAAACATGTTTCAATATCCTATTCCATTTCAAGGCGAAGCAAACTCGTTTCCATTCATCATACATCTGTGAGCAATTGCCCCTTAAGAATGTATATGTTTCATTTTCATATTGTGTCCTATCATTGCAATAATGGATCTAACAAATAAAGGATTTTCTGGATATGTCTATTTTGGGAGGTTAATGTCTTATTCATCTCAAATGATTTGTGATTTCTACTATAGTGAAATATATTTTGCTATGGTTGAAGGGTGATGATACTTGTGATTTATTCATATGTGATGAAGACATAAAATAGGGAAAAGATGTTTATGAATTTGTAAATGAAGATGGAGCAAGATGAAGGAATTGGAAGTTGTTGGAATTTAGAAGGATTTGTATAAATCTTCAAAGAATAAGAACAAGAAACTGTAGAAGAAATTGAACTCAAAGGCACTTGCTAAAAAATTGAAGTTAATATATTTTGTATTTTCGTTTATGCTCAACATGTATGTTATAATGAAGTGTAGTTGTTGATGAGTGTATTGAAATTTAATATCGTTAATGAGTGTTTATTGGAACTTAATCCATCAAAATGTAATCAAAATTATTTTTAATGGAAAGATGGTGATTAGTTTGGTTAATTTTTTCTCTCATAGTATGGTCAGTAACTGTAATTTGAATTGCATTGTATGGTTTAATTTTGACATAGTATGGCAAGAAATCTGGACATAGTATGACTTATGTTTGGCTTTAATTTTGACAAAGTATGGTCAAAAATTTGGACATAGTATGACCTATATTTGACTTAGTTTTGATATATTGGACACTTTTCCCTTTAATTTGAATTGTTTGGTTTATATTTGTCATAATACAAATATGATGATATTTGTATCATATTTGATCAAATAGATTTGTTATACAACAACTAAATACCAATTGACAGCAAAATTTTCAAACAACACTCATTAGAAAATACTTACAACAAGTTATACACCATAGTGGTGATACAACACCATTTAGTCCTTACATTACATAGACAAATTAAAATATATCACATTACTCATAATTCATGATAGTGTATTTACAAAATATATAAATATCTTCAATATATTAGCATAGTCATTCATTGAGTTAAGCTCTTGCAAATATTTGTCTAGCATTTGGATCTCTTATCACTTACAATGTCATATATTGTGGTATCCTCTTCAGGATTCACCAATGGATCTTCCAGATTTTTTCCAGGGCCCACTATGTCTCTTGTTTCTAAAGTTATTGGTTTATCAATCTTTCTTCTTGCACTTGTCAAATCATCATATTTCTTCACTTTGTTCTTTTTTGGTATTAGTCTCTTAATTTGTCATAACAAGCAACAGCTAGTAAATACACAGGGTGTTTTAAAAGTATAAGATGTGAAGATACTTACATAATAACTGTGTTCTTTCTTGGTATCAGTCTCTTGACTTGTCATAACAAGCGAGAGTTATTAAATACACAGGGTGGTTTAAAAGCATAAAATGTGAATATATTTACATGATCGCTGCTACTTGGTTTTGTGTAGAAACTTTTGTGTAGAAACTTACATGATTTCCAGGTGGTTTGAAAGAACTGGAGTTAGAAGCTTTTGACTTTTTACCTAAGAAAGTTCTGATACCACTTGATTTTGATGAACTTGGTTTGACAGTGGATGGTGGTTTTATAGGTGTTGTGTCAATATTAATAGGTTAAATGTCAAGGATGTCTTTATTACTGGTAAATGCTTTTGAAGCCTCAAGAACCAACCTATAATACTTGTTAAAGTATGAGTCTTACACAATAGGCCACACATTATCATTAACCTGCGTTGGTGGTTCCATATTAGGTAAGACATTATCATTAACCTGTGTTGGTGGTTCCACGTTAAGAAACACATTTCCATCAACATGTGTTGGTGGTTCCACATTAAGAAACACATTACCATCAACATGTATTGGTGGTTTCATATTAAGAAATATCTTGTCATTATTTGTGTTGGTGGTTGCCCATTAGGAAACTCAGTCTCACCAATCTGAGATGAAGAGCATTAACGAAAAACCTTTTTATTTTTAAGCGCCTTTTTACCTTTTCTTGTGTTATGACTTGGTTTACCATTTACATACTATTTAGGCATCCCTTACAATAAAAATACATTGTTAATAACTACATAATTATGATGTACACATAATCACAAGGTAAGTTCAAAACATAACCCTTTTTGTGGTGTCTTATGGGATATGTTAGTTTGGCTAGCATGTGTTGGTGGTTCCTTTGTTTGTGTAGGTTGGCTTATTTTAGATTAGACAAGAACAAGTTATTTGTTTATCTTGCAAGTGGTCATATTCTAAGCACTTCTTGCACCTATGGCTAGTATTTGATCTTTGTTATTCAGTAATATTCCATCATGGTTGTGCTTTAGATGACATCCATCTAAACCTTTAAAGGGTATGCATGCTTTAGTATGACATTTTTGAACTGTTTCAATGAGGAAAACTCCAATCCAGCCTTGAAAGTAAAATCCTTACTAAGAGCAACTTCTTCGTTGAATCTAATTACACTAGGCCTATCATCACAATTGGCATCATCTTCCCCACTATCAAGTTCATCAATCATATAGTCTTCCTCAGTGATATATTTCCTATCCATCCCTCGTGTAATAAAGACATTATTGAGTGGTTCACTTCTTGCATCACCATCAACAACATGTGTACCTCTAGGTCGCCCTTCATCAACACCTTCATCAAAATCATTCATCTTTTCCTTCTCATTATCCTCAAGATGCATATCCTTCATAGACTCGTCACTTGATTCTCTAGAAGTATCAACCTCTTTACCACATTTATTTCTCTTCATTTTCTCTCTAACCCTATCCATAAATCTAGCATCTCCTGTAATGGTTTTGGCTCAATAAATATTTCTACTTCACAATTATTTCCAAATACAAACACAGATAACTATGATGCATCTCCATCACTCCAAAGAGTTTTAAATCTTCTTTCAAAAACTACCACCATCGTGTTTCCACCATATTTTCATAGTCCCAATATCAAACTTTGAGTCAATCCCCTTGATTAACTCACATGCTTCAAAATAAGACCAATAATTGAAATCTTGACCACTATATGCATAAACTTCCCCACCCTCATATCTTAAGTTAGAGTCTTTTACAAAATAAGCCTTGATGTAGAATAATGTAATGTTACATTTGTACTTTTTGACCAGTACAAATACCACCTTAAATAAGCTCATGTCATGTACATTACAATCAGGGTTATATTTGTACAATTTGAGTCAAATATTCTATATACAAACACACAATCAACATGCACTCAACATTATACATTATAAATATACTCAACAAACAATCAAAATACGACCTACATGAAACAATCAAGACCTTAATTACTACTTTAAACATTCTTAATGGGAAACAAGTGGTACAACACGCACATAAAAGTGATGGATAAAGAAACCCTAAAATAATATTCAAACACAAAATTAACAAATTGAGTAAACAAGTGGACCAACTTGAACTATAGTGTGAAGGACCACAACATAATCACGAGATACAGTTTGAAAATGTCTCAATGGAATCACCACATGACTTCAGTAACTTGAATGAGGCCACCACACCAACAAAGCAACAATTTTCCCCTTTTCTTCGTAAACGGCTTCAAACGGAGCAGAGTTATACGAATATTTTGGAAAAGTTATACCAATAAGCCACCAACAGAGTAGAGCTAGAAGGTTCTGATGGTAGGGCTTCAAATGATTGAGCGCGTAAGACATGTTTCAGAGAAACTTTTGATTTTCTACCATAAATTAATTAATTTTAACTTCAAAGTAATATATTTTATTCCATCATAACTCAATATTAACAAAGTCATTATTTATTAAAGTGTAAGAGTTATGTCACATGTTCTACTATGTCGGCCTCTGTTATTAAAAACTAACGAGAGAGATTAAATTTATTGACGGAAAATATCATTAATCGAGAAAATTTTATAGAATTAAAATTAAATTATAGTCTAAAATTTAAAAATATATTTAACTATAAAAATATACAAAAGTGAAAAGTACAAATGTATAAATGTCGAATGGTAAAACTCTAAAACTCAACCGATTAACATATTACATTTAAACCATTGTTTTGTTTGTAATTATAAAGTCAATCTAAAATATGAATTAAATTTTTTTATTTTAGAAAAAAAACTGAAGACTGCATTTATGATAGCATAGATAAATAAAAACTGGATATCATTAGGACCCATTTCTAAATAAAATGATATTTTAACTAAAATTTTGTTGCAAATTGTAAGTTTTTTTCTTCATATTTTAAAATTTTGAAATGTGAGTAAAGTATAAAAAGAAAAATAGAGATAAACATAGAAGGTGCTAGTATTGTGATGTTCAAATAAAACAATTGTCTTTTAAAATAGTATTTTTCAAACTGTTATCAATATTTTATTAGTGTCTATGGATTTTGACCCACTGGATCTGCCAAAATTAACCTCTCTATTGAATGTAACGTTTAACATACCACAAGTATTACATACTTTTTTAAAAAAACACCCATTAACAATCTAGTAAAAGAAATTAAAAAAAAAAAAAAAAAAAAAAAAAAAACAGTTTTCATAGTTTGAATTCTGATAAAAGAATGCGTCATGTTGTTAGTAATGGAGTACTATATTCTTGTTGTCATAGTTACAACCTCAATACATGATTTGTACGTGATGTACACGCTCTGTTACAAAGCCACAATCTTAGACTCAATGAATAATTGGTATTCTCACTCATCACCAATCCCATCAAAGTTTACATTAGTCTTAATGGTTTGGTTCTCAAGTCAATGCCATATTTATTGTATTTTAAGACTAAATAAAAATATCACCATTTTCATTACTCTAAACTCTCAATTCTATTGGTTTCTGTTTTTCTAATCCCAAAACCGTTTCAGTGCTTTTTTTTTCTATCTAGCCAACCAAATTACTCCCAAGTCACACCAAATTAAAACATGGAAAACTCAAATTTTTACATAAAAAATAAACATTAAAAAAATAGACATATTAGCGGTGCAAACAAACATGTCCATCTTATTTAAATATTCGTAAAAATTCATTAAAAAAATAAGGCAGAATGAGACAAACATAATTGAAAATACGAGTTTAAAACTTTTATACATTTTGTAAAGAATGAGACGATCGTATTAGATTATGTGGATTAAAATTTTGATTTATTCTACAAAAAAGTGTCGGCAAAATAGAAATGTTTAACGAATCAAATTCGTTTTGTCTTCCTTATACTTTGTCGTATAAAGATGATAAAATATATGTTTGTCGGTGTTTGAAATATTCCGATTGTCTAAATTGATTTTAAGTAAATGATGGAATTAATTTCAAATTAAACAATCCATAATCAGATATCAAATTTTAAGAAATATTGGACATACGAACGTTCAAATTTTGATGATGACATTCAACCTAATAATATCCTTTATCGGTCGAATTAGGAATCAGAGAGATATATATAAAAGTAGGAATTGGAGACTTGTATATAAGAAAAATTCCTAAACATCAATATCAACCCTTGATTAGAAAAAGAAAAGTTTGAATAGTAGTATAAGAAAAAAGAAAGTAGTAGTATATAGAAAGAGAAGAGGCACAAGAAAACAAAACAAAGTCACACAATAAGCAACCCTTCCCTCTTTCACATTTCTTGTCCAATCTCCACCCAAACCAAACCACCCCTAACCCTTTTTTCCTCTCTCTCTCCCTTTACACACAATTCTCCTTGAAAGAGAGACAGAGAGAGAAGTCTCTCCCTCTTTCTCCGCTCATCAATGGAAATCAGCTCAAGATTTCATCATGACAGAGAGAATCCATCTCCAATGAACTCACCAAAAAGCAATGTAAGTAACTGTATGAGCAGCAGCAACAGCAACAATGGAATCCAAATTCAAACACCACCTCTCACTCCCAAAACAATCCCTAGATCTGATTCAAATCCTTACCCTACAACCTTTGTTCAAGCTGACACAACAACTTTCAAACAAGTTGTTCAAATGTTAACAGGCTCATCAGAAACAACAACAACCTCAACCAACACAACAACAACAACAACAACAACCTCAACCACAACAAAACCAAATCAAGATCTACATCAACAACCCACAAGAAACTTCAACATCCCTCCAATCAAAACAGCACCAAAGAAACAAGGTTTCAAATTATATGAAAGAAGGAACAGTCTCAAGAACAGTGTTCTCATGCTCAACACCCTCATGCCAAATGTTTTACCTAGAAAACAACAACAATATCATCAACAAGAGATTCTCTCTCCTAGCTTGCTTGATTTTCCTTCTCTTGCTCTTAGCCCTGTCACTCCATTGAATGATGACCCTTTTGATAAATCTTCACCTTCATTGGGAAATTCTTCATCAGAAGAAGATAAAGCTATAGCTGAAAAAGGTTTCTATTTGCACCCCTCTCCTATTACTACACCAAGAGACTCTGAGCCACAGCTTTTGCCTCTCTTCCCTCTCTCTTCACCTAGAGTCTCACAATCAAGTTCTTGAGCAAGAAACATTCAATTCTCGTGTAAAAGATTGAAACTTGCTATGTGGGTCGTTTAGATTGAGAAATTTACAACATGGGTTTTGAAATCAAGGTAAAATACATAGCTTGGTTTAATTTGTAAAAGTGAATTTCTTAGTCTTACCATGAAATGGTCAAGACCCTTTTTCTCTTCTTTAATTCTCATGTTAATTTTGTCTTCAAATTCTAAATATTATCTACTATCATTTACCTTTCCATAAATGAAAGAAGAAGAAAAAAGTCTCTTTGTCCAATGAATCTTGTTTTTTCCTCTTTATATTTCATGAATAGTTCTTCTTCAATTATTACTTTTGTTATAAAATCACATCTTAGGTATAATCATAATTCATAAGATGAGATGTCTCTTTAATTCATTATATGATGAAATCAATGAATATGAATTCTTCAAAGCTTTTGTGTATGTGTGATTCATGTTTCACACTAACTACATGGTCAAGTTGTGTTTGAGATATGAACATAATCCAAACAAAGCAAAGAGATGAAAAGAGAAGTTATTGTTTTTTTGAGAAAATAAGGAAGCTTGGAAGGGACACTGACACATTGTACTGGAGAATCAGTCTTCTTAAGGACATAACATAACCATGTACTATGTTGTTGTCATCATAGAAAGCTGCACAAACAAGAAGGTTGAGAGGGAGGGTCCATCTTCTTGGTTATACCACTTTAGTCTAATCTTATTCTCTACTAGTTAACTAACTTTAGTTAATCTCGAATTCTTCAAGAGAATTCGAGTTTGAATCAAACAATAATAACGTTTGGTCAGGTTTAACTTCTCGACCAAATTTCAGATTACCTGACTCATCTCGGAGAGACTCATCTCAGATTAAGACCTAACTCTAACATATGTATAAGTTTTTAACATCTTAAAGCAAAGATTTTTTAAGTGTAGAACATTAATGCATAATGTTACCAACTTGTACTTGTAACAATCTAGATAAGGGACCTATATGTATTATCATAAAAATTGTAGTATTTTGTAATATAGGATCTATGTTTGTGTTGATCATAAAAATTGTTCAAAACAGATATTGTTCTGAAAACATGCAATCATTTGATGAATAAGAGTTTTTTGTACTCACATTCAGTGACTGTTTCCCTATAGTAGTAGGGAAACTTACATGAAAATTCTCAGAATTGACATCAATTTCAAAGCATGGAAAAAGAAAATTTTGTGGCGTGTGATATAAGAAAGGAAACAAGGACAGCGATATTTAAGGAAGAAAAAAAGAGCAAACTGTTACTTGTTTGAATTTTTGTTATCACACCTAATTTAGGTAATTGTATTATAGAAAATTACGGTCAAATTCAACAAATGCGACTGAAATTGCAGTATGATGCAATCGTGAATACATTAAAAATCTTGATGCTGAGTCCAAATTCGTTTTTCATAATCTTGCACATCCTATTGTAAATTTAGTATTTTTTTTTATAGAAATCAGATATTTTCTAGGCGGAGAAATCTTTTACCAAATGCTCTTGATAAAAGAACTTAGTGTTTTAAGAATAGTCTAATGACTTGTCAAAAATTTCTATGTATATATTACAATAAAGTTTCCCTATGTGCTCTTGAATTGAATATTTAATCAAACATAGTAATAAATGTTGTATTATGGGATCAACAACAATTTTATATATTTTATACAAACTTGAAGCAACCAAAAATGTGTTGTTTCTCTTTGTTTTAATTTTTCACTCTATGTTGATTGTTTAATTGAGAGTTTTGTATTAGAAGCATAGTAGGGTTGACAAAATGACAAAGAGAGAAAGATAAGATAGAGAGAAAGTGAAACTTTTGTTTACAATCATCATCTTGCTAAGAGAAAGTGAGGCTAAAAAGAAACAAAATGTAAATTACAAAAGCAGATAAAACGTGAAGACCACTACCCTTTTTCTTTTTCTTCCTCCTTTTTAGACTTTGCTTTGTCATTTAGGTACATCTTAGTTGGTCCCTATTGTTGGCTTGTTGTTGATGCATTGAACAATCAAACCGCCAATTCCTTTTTCTTTTTCAGTTTTTAAGCAAGTTCGAAGTTCAAATATCTTTCTATGTATAGGATTTGTATTTCATATTGTAAGAAAAAACACATTAAGTTAGAGTAAAACTCAATATTGATTGGTCTAACAAAAAAAATTGAGTCAGATCAAAATTTTGTATAAGCTATCGTAATACATAATTTGATAATATCTAACAGGATTTGAATTTGAGATTTTACGACTTTTATACTATCAACTCCTCGGCCTTCACTAACATGCCAACTTTTCAAGGATTTAGACCAACAAAGTAAATGCGTCAATTCTAAATCAATAATTTTTTTTTTTTGGTATTTGACACAACTTTATTGAAAAAGATAGAAGCTAATTAGGTAGATAGTGAAAAGACCATGTTGCTATGACAACATGCTTGGAAGGAACTTTTCCTTATTCAAGCAAATATAATAAGCACTTTACAATGAATACATATGCATCAAGCTAAATTGTTACACGAAATTAGGCATGTTGTTTGTTACACTGTGGAAATAGATAGTCATGGAAAAAGTTATACATTTTTGTTTTTCAATAATTTGTTGATGCAAGTAGAAAAATGGAAAATATTAATAATAGGGGATCAAACAAGTCTTAAAGAAAATGGGGCTGTGATAACTATATTTTGGAGGGTTGTCATGTTTTAAGATACAACATGCTACACTAGTCAATGGATGAAAAGTTTGTATGGTACACATTTTAATATGACAATGACTTTGTTTTGTGTCTTTGAAATTTGAATGATTGATTTTTCACTTAAAGAATTGAGTTTATTGTTGACTATACCTCTTCTAGTCTTTATGATTTAGTGCACCCCATATAAATACAACTCCTTCAAAGTTCAAGATAAACGGCAGAAGGGAAAAAGTCATGCATAAATAACATTTTTTTCTCATTCATCATATGTGGAGTGATAAGACGGTCATTTTTAAATTTTATGCATAGAGAAGATGTTTTGACTTAGCTAAAATATGACTAATTCAAACTAATTTGAATTTGATTTTAAAAAAATTAAGTCATTATCAAAATACATTGATTCTAATTTGTTTTAAAAGTTAAGTAATTAATAGTTGAGTGTGGAAAAATACTTTTTATGTAAAATAATTAAATGAAATAATTTGGAAAATATAAATAACTGAAACCGGTAGAAAAAAGTTATCATAAGAGAAATTTGAAATATTGACTTTAAGAAAATAACAACACTTATGATTCACAAGTACATACTTTCTTTTGCTACTAACAATGCCTCATGTGAACAAGAATGTGCCTTGTTTAATAATGCTAATGAAAATGCATGCAACATACCATATTTACATTTTGTTTTTGAAATACATTATTTCATAATAAGCAGTAAATGTTACAATACCATTAACTATCATAACCTTTAATATCATCAAAGATGATTGCAGCTACTCTTTAGATCTCCGAGAAGGATTTGACAGTCTTGAACTCATGATTTTCAGGGAGAGGTCCATTTCCAGGTCGAATAGAAATTATTGCCTCCAAACCTGAAACATAGACAATTATCAACAAATCGATGTGCAGAAAAAATATGCAGTTTCTTCTTTAGTTCATATAAGTGGATGAAGTTCACATACTGTATTGTATTTACAAACTATATGTCGATTTTTTACTTCATGTTTTCCCTAAGTCAAAATAATTTGAACTTTTAAGATTAAAATAAAGGGCTAAATTCATATTGTCTTCACTGTAAGTAAAAAAATTTAGTTACTATAACCATGTGAAACTTTAGGCTTATTGTAAATGTAACAAGTTTTATTAGTAGTGGATAATATTTAGAGAATTGATATTTTGACACCCAAATTTGGGTGTGAAAAAGGAAGTGTAATTTTTAGGTGTAATAGTGTACTATTGAAATTCGTGTAAGTGTATGAAATGAAAAAGTAGGAGAGATATAGAGATATACGGTTGATATACGGTGTCAGATACGGTGACAAATATTGAATGTTCAAATAACACTCCTCTAATATTTAACTCAATAAATGATGGGTTAAGGTTTGAGAATAAATGCTCTACCTGCTGCCTTTGCAGCTGTAGCTTCTTGATATTCATCATTTTTAGGTGTAATAGTGTACTATGGAAATTAGCGTAAGTGTATGAAATGAAAAAGTATGAGAGAGATAGAGATATACGGTTGATATACGGTGTCAGATACGGTGTCAAATATTGAATGTTCAAATAACACTCCTCTAATATTTAACTCAATAAATGATGGGTTAAGGTTTGAAAATAAATGCTCTACCTGCTGCCTTTGCAGCTGTAGCTTCTTGATATACATCGGTGACAAATAAAATATCTGATGGATTATCCACACCAAGTGATTGAGAAATTTCAACATAACTTTGTGTCTCTTTTTTGTTCCTACAAAAGAGCTTTACATGAATATATGCAACTTTAGACTATCGTCAAAGGAAAACATCAATATAAGCATTACCCCACTGTGGTGTCAAAAAACCCAGATAGGAACTTTCTTAGGTCCCCAAAGTTTGTTTTTCCAAATATTAGCCTTTGCGCCAATCTGCTGCCACTCGAATATATGTACACCTGTTGCATAGAGATCAAAAATAGCAATTGAAATGCAAGAAAATATGCTATCAAAACACAAGATAAACACTGCATACAAATTGTAATGTGTTTGTTCAACTTGTTTCATTCTTGGCCAACAGAAAATAACAATTACCTTACCCTCTGAATGAAGAGTTGAATATTTTTACAATTAAAAGAATAACAGAGACCCATTAGAATTGTATTATACATCAAATCTTATATTAAATTTATAGGTATTATAACCATGTGCCATTTTATAATTTTACCAAATCTCTATGTATTTACTGTCTAGTATTTGTATCTTGTGTGTTATTATAATTGCAGGAACTGTCTCTTCAGGCCAAACCTTTATGTGTCTTCCTTGGATTTTTTTAAGATCAGATGCGCATTTCTTGGTGATTTTGATAGTGGGCATGTGATTCCAGTTTAGTGGGTCCATTGGTGAGTCAACATGTGACACGAAGAGAAAAAGAATGGTATTATGATAGATAAAGGAGATAAGGATGTAATGGGTGGCTCGCAGTGATAAGCATGTTACAAAGGAATTTTGGTTTAGTGGGGTGGGGACATCCAAACCCAGGGGTCCACTGTAGGCACCAAAAACCAAACCAATGGAAAGAAGAGAATGGACATAGAAGGAGTATAAGTAAGAAAGTATAAATGGAAATTCAAATCAAAGGGTCGAATTCTAATGGGAATGGAAAGGCATCATATGACCACACAGCCAGATATGTTCTTCCATTTAGCTAATAGAGGGCATGTCAACCTATGGTCATCTTATGCCCTTTTACCAAACATTGACATCTTGCTTATGCATCAAAGATGCCTAGGGTCAAAATACATTAAAAAAAAAAAGCAACAGTCCTTTAGAAAGTCAACAAAAGAACCAAAAAGAGGTAGAGTTAATAATCAGTAAAGACAACCTTTATGCCCAAGGCATTCCACTTTTCTAGAGCCTCAGGTACATCGTCAAAAACTATTCCCTCCAATTCATTATTCGCATAACCAGTTTGCCATATATGACCCTGCATAGATAATAGCCAGTGATATAAAAAAAAATATGAATTCAACATAGAGATTAAGTCTGCAACATTAGGCTTAATTACCTGCAACTCTTTTAAGGCAGTGATCTTTCTATCCGCTTTGATCATAGCATCCACATTAGCAACTATAGCAGAAATGACTTCATCTTTCCCAGCATCATCTTGGGGGATAGGCACAGCACCTGCAATCCCTTGTTCAATGTCACTTTCAACCTGTTATCGCAACAAAAGAGAAGTCAACCACCAGATTACCTGAATGCAACATATAAATAGATCTCCATATCTCAATTGGTGAAAGCTTGTTATCCTTTTGTTTGGGGCACAAACTGCACTAATGAAGGTGGGCTGGTCCCTGGATTCTCTACTTCCCTATTATGACCATACAGTTGACGTATGAAACTTAAGGACGAGTCTTCATAAATCACCTAGTTTTCACGAATTTCATTATATATTCATAAACCAGGAAACTGCCTGAAAGCAAAGTAACATTTTTGTGATTATTAGTGAAATTAATGTGAACTAAACAAGGCTTATAAGCCTCACATTTTAGGTGAGACTCCTCAAAGTGGGACTCATAACAATGCACCATCTTTCGAGAGTCGGCGTCGTACTTTCTTGTTAATCTATTTACTCCTATGATGGAGCACTTTTATTTGATTTCATTTTATCCTTTAATGAACCCCAAAACAAGTATAAATTATAAGGCTCATGCTAACATGTGTGCCTTAAAGGCACGTGTTAAGGATTCAAAAAATAGAAATTGTATTGGAAGAAACAATTTATAAACCTAAATGCACAATTCCCCAGATAATGGTACCACATTTGGTTCCTTAAGATATGCCCTTAAGGCACAAGTTAGTCTTTTCCAAATCATAATAACTAAGAAAATTTGAATGATATTAATATGATAACAACTTTGTCATATGTTTTTTAATATTCATGGATCTGAACTTTCATTCTCATCTTTAGCACGTCATTTAAGTGTCAATATGGGATAACATTATACATAACTGGGCCGCAGCCATTCAAGAATTACCATATAATCCAACTGAAGGAATATAAATACCATAACCATACAGCCAAATAAAATCTTACTTGGGAGCGAAGCAATTTGATATCGACTTTAGTTTCAGAAGTATCGTATGTTGCAGAAAGATGCCTCCCAACATTATCACGGGCATACGGAAAGAGAACCTCTGAAACAAATGATATGGGAGTAGTAGTTCCTTCAATGTCAAGAACAATGCAACGCTGCAATACAAATAGAGAGGATAATAAACAATCTAATTTGAATTAATTAAACTTAATTTGAAACTATAAGATGAAACTGCAGGATATGTCGGAATTATCAGTCTGTTGGGGATAGAGAATCTTAGGTTCAGGAATTTAAGGAAATATAAAGACCCGCGAATTTATAGATGAAAAACTTAAACTAAAGGAGGATTATATGATACTCACTGGATATGGACCAATGTCGCTGTTATCTTTCCTTGCCTTTGTAGACAAATTTGACTCCCCAGCAATACTTAAACCCCTCCGTGCACTTTGTATTGGACCATGATTTGGAGTCGACCAGTCCAATCCCATTTGATGAAGTTTGATAGCAGCATCAAAGAGGTAATGGTAAGTCTCAGACTGGAAGAAAAATCATAAATATATCAAAAAGCCTGATAATTGTTAGAATATATGAAAGTATCCTATAATATCTTGATAATGTGGACGAGTCTTCTTAGATGAAAGTCCATGCAGAGCGCATAAATAGGCATCTTATATAAATTGTATAGCAATCTTCTTGGGGATTGTGGAGATCAAAAACCTGAGTTTTAGCACTGATCCATGAGTCTCCCCAAACAAATATCCCATGGTTGCGAACAAGCACAGCTGTTGTTTTTGGATAGTCTTCAATCTAGAAATTGTGAGAAAATAGAAAGATTAAGTTATATTGCACGGGAAAGAAAATTATAGAATTCCCAACAGATATATAACATGTATGCAGAACCATTAGAAGGAAACATACTGCTTTAGCAAAAGATTCTGTGAGTTGATGTTCATGGGCTGTGTTATCAATTATTGGGACCACTAGTTCATCATAATAACCATGCCCCTTGATCCCTTTTATCATCTCCATGTGAGTAATCTGCAATCGTGAATTCAACCAGAATCCAATTAGTATAACACAAAAGCTAGGAGCGACATATAATATGTGATTATTGTGAAGGAGACACATTAACCAATTTGAAACTGTGTTTAGTTTTCTCAGAGCAATATGAATTACACAGTAACAACACAAAAGTCACCATCCTATGCTTGATTAGGAAAAAGTGACAACATACAACATGATAAATCCACAAGGAAGTAGGTTGGCAGGTGCCATCTCCATTCACCCTCTCAGGAATAAATTCATTCAAAATAATGTGTTTAAAAATATTTCTATGTACACAAAACATATAAATGCCTTATCCCATCCACCCAACCAAATGTCTTTCATGGTTCTTTATAGCACTAGAAGCAGAACTAAACTTGCAATTTTCTGTATAAAATTCTCTGTGCAAGACATAAACCAATCAAAAAAGTTAATGTGATTTAGAAAATAGCCAGTAACCATATTCAAAGATAACAGAGGTGATCTGCAAAATGTATGTCAATATTTCTACTTTAGACTTTCTCCAGTTTGTTAATTATTTCACTACTTTTCAGTGGCACTCAATATTTTTTCCCTAAAAAACTTGAGTTTTAGAGAATGGAAAATGACTACCAAAACAAGAGGGTAACGCAATTAGAGGAACTAATTACACTTCCAAGAAGGATGTTTCATGCAAGTACGGATCTTATTATCAGTTAATTATTTTCTCCTTTTGAATTCTTTAAGTACGATAAAGAGATTCTTTCTCGTTCATAAATAAGATGTTTGCCTGACTTGAACTTAGCATTTCACAAATAGCCTTATGCTCAAGCAAATGGAATATATTTCGCACTCAGCTGCATTAGTAATTGTGTATCATCATTTTGAATGTACATCTTTTTCAAGACATCAAAAGATTGCAAAGCAAAAGGGCGTTGATGTACAAATACTTACTCGGAATTCCTTTGAAAAAGGATTGATCATTGTTACAAGGCAAGATTCTATCCCATGACTGTGAATGATAGCCCCAGCATCACGCTTTTCATATGCCTATAAGGTAATCAAAAGAAGCGTATTTCAATTGCTAATTTATGCAAGAAAAAACTATTAAAAACACATAAGAATCGAGAGTTTATAAGGTCAGCCAATAGTACATTTGACCCCAAAAAATTATCCAAACAAAAATTTCACAACCACGCCATTCAATAGCCAAATATAGTTATTTCCTAATTAGAAGTGAGTATATACAGGTATTACAGCATTTAGCAGGATGTGAAGTGTTATAAAATTGCGGTACCATGGCCGCTATGGCGGATATACATGGCGGTTTTTGGACTCGTCGCAATGGTAAATATCGGCCGCTATTGCGGGTTTTTCCGCCATAATCTGCTACAGATGCGCCGCAAAGCAGCCGGTGTGGCGGGATTTTGGCTCTCCGCCATGGATCGCCATCGACAACACTGAAGTCATGTAATTGGTATACTATAAAGCACTTGTCAACTGAATGTTACAGACTTACAGTTAATTAGTACTATCAAATATCCTATACCTTTATCCTTACTCCCAAATTTAAGAGCTGTGAAGCTCCAATGCTCCAAAATTGCTAAAGTGTCGGTGTCCGACACTGCTGAAATATGCAGAGGTTCAATAAAAACCTAAATAATTTAGGCTAAATTGTACATATAAAACCATCTCTTAAAATACTAAGGTTGCATATCAGGTAGTGGATCATGTCACATAATATTACTGTTACAATTAGTGCTAGTTTAAGTCTGTTAGGTTGTAGTAATTAATTGTAGCAATAGCTCATTAGATTTCTATTATCAGTTAAGTTCAAATACTATATAATCTCTACTCTGTTATATGGTTAACTCAGTTCAATGAATTCAATATTCAAGATTCATAATTCATTCTGTCTCTCACTTCATAACTTCAAAATGTGCTGTGAAATCTCAAAAGCATAATAAGCATACCACACTCTACATCACTCAGAGTCAGACAATACAGTTATTAATAGGGTAAGAAAACAAGGGGGGTTGGTAGCTCAACTAGTTTGAGCTAATGGTTGAAGGAGTTGTAATGGAAGGGTTAAAAGACACAGGTTCAAACCCTGGTGAAGGAGAAAAAGATACTAACACAACAACTAATTAGTAACATTTGTCTATTGAAATATAAATAAATAAATAATAAACTGTGAAACCAAACTTACCTTCATGAAAAGTGGATCACAATCAGTACACTTGGGAGGCTTATGTGGGTAAGGTTTGGGAGATGGGGCAGACAAAACTGACCCATTCTCAGATAACACATACATATCCTCTGGTTCCATTCTTTCTTTCTGAACAGCTGCACATATTTTTCAACACAAAGCAATGATCAATACATAATGGAATTTCATCTTCTCTTGTATCTCAAATTCTTAACCAACTAGTACTAGTAATCTATATTGCAGAATGGAAGAATCCAGTATAGAACTTGTGTCAAACAGTTGATGGGCACACGATAACAGAAGTAGGGTGTAAATAGTACTATAGAAAGCAACCCGAATACGAGAAGGAAATAGAGAATACCAGAAGGGGACATGAGAATGAGTTGTTGAGGTTTGGGAATGGAATCATCGTGGACTTTGATGCTGATGCTGCCACCAGTTCCCGATACCCATCCCAAACCGTAGAAGTGGCGACACAGTTCCGCCATAAGAGCTTTCGTCTCCTTCACGGCCTTTCCTTCCAGATACGCCTGAGACGACGTTGTTCCAACCTTTACTCCGTTCAGACCAATCGCTGCTGCCATTTTTAGAGAGAGAAAGAGAGAGTTCTTTGTGTGTCCTGTGTCGGAATCAATCTGGCTTAGTCTCTTGTGTGACACTTGAGAACGGGAATCCAATTTCGTAATTTTGCTGTCATAAATCAACTAAAGTACTAGTATCTTTTTTAACCACAAAAATATAATATAACTACACTATATATAGTTTTTTTTTTTAGATTTCTTTGAATTCATATTTTATTACTTTTGTTATTTTGTTGATGATTTTTATTATTATTATTATTATTATTATTATTATTATTATTATTATTATTATTATTATTAATAATGATGTGTAATGTTACATGTGCTTTGAAAAAAAGAAAGCTCTGATGAAGATGCATTAGATGATGAAGAAGAATTGTCATTCATTATCAGAAGAGTCAAACAGTTTTGGAAAAGACAAAACAACTTCAGAATATTTAGAAGGGATCGCTCAGACTCGTACTCAAGGAGTAACAAAGAAGTTACATGTTATGAATGTAAAAAATCAGGACATTATAGAATTGATTGTCCAAAGCTAAAGAGAGAGGGTTTCAGAAATGAAAATTTCAAGATTGACAAATTCAAGGGTAAAAAGAAAGGTCTTATGACAATTTGGGATGATTCTGAAGTATCAGAATCCAACTCTGAGAAGGAGCATGCAAATGTAGCTTTCACAGCTATCATGTTAGAAGGAAGTGCATCAAAAACTAAGTATAACTCGGAAGATGTATTTTCTAACATCTCTTGTGTTAATCTTGAATCAGTTTTATCTAGCTATTTAAGTAAATATCATAAGCTTAAACAAAAATTCAAGAATCTTGAAAAGATTCATGAATATAAAGTTAAAGAATATGAAAAGTTGAAAGATGAATTTTTTAAACAGAAAACCTTATCTTAGAAAGGGTAAATGATTTTCAAAGTAAAAAAATGCTTAGAATTATAAGAAACTCTTTTAAAAGCTCCAACGATATTTGATTCTATTTTATACAAACATGATAAAGCTTTTCAAAAAAATTTAGATAATAATCTGGGTAGAAGCATAATGGCTTCCTTGATATGTGGTATTGGCCATAATGTCAAAAGAGGAATTGGTTATGATCCTTATGAGGATAAGACTTCACCTCACGAAAACCCTTTTTCTCAATTTTCCTATTTGTATTCATCTACACAAACACAATGAAAACTAGTTATACAAGACCCAAAGATTATGGGTATTGTTGTAACCCAAAATCCGCCCTCTTTATTTTAGCCCTAATTGGTTTAAGTTTCTCTAACATACTCAAACATACATATCATCGATTACATGATTACATGATCAAGGCATTTCTCTGCGAGAAAGAACTATAAAAGAACAATTGTTACATCAGGCAGTACAATAAAGCAGAAACTCAGGGTTTTCAAGATCAACGTGTGCTCCACATATTTTTCCAGACTTCTCAATTAGTGAGTCTTCAAGTCATCATCATTCCAAGATCTCGTGTGTTTCATCATGCTTTGAATTGCAGAGAAAGTCAGGTGTTCCAGTTGATTTGAGATAGTTCAAGCCGAAATTCAGTATTTTACGGTTCGAGATTAAAATTTGTAACTTCTGACTGGAAAATGGTTTTGGAATGGTTCTTCAGGAATTAGAACCTTCTTTTTATCTTCTCCAATTAATCTGTTAAGGTTGAAGGCTAATTTTGTAAGAAAAATCTTCAAAAGTGCAAATATCTGAAATCATGTTATACAGTGGATTGGTTGGTCAATTATTTGTTCGGACATTCAAAAATTTATAACTTATGACCGGAAAATTATATTTGAGTGGTTTTTGGAGCATTTGAACCAGCTTGTTATTTTCTTCAGTTCACATGTTTGGGTTGGAAGCTGATTCAGTGAGGAAGACTTTCAAAAAATCAAATTACCTAAGACTGGTATCCTGAAACAGTGTGTTGATCCACTGTTTATCGGATATTCAAAAATTCATAACTTTTGACTAGAAAATTATTTTTCAGTGGTTCTTTGGGCGTTGGATTCGTCTTGACATCCTCTCTATTTCATATGTTTGGGTCGGGAGCCAATTCTGTGAAGAAGATCTCTGAAATTACAAAAATACGGTGAAAATCGCATGTTGAAGCGGATTTCAGGTTAATTGTCGCGCGATATTGCAAGAATCATAACTTTCTCAATTTTCATCATATTGAGACGATTGTTTCGGCATAGTGTCAGAAATTGTGTTAGCTACAAGTTTTCTTTGGGGGCCCAATTCGGATTGTGCCAAGAAGACGTCGGTTTAGGGCTTGTTTCCAAGGCCGTACACCGGAATAAGCTTAAAATTTTGTACAGAGGGTTTTTATCTCAAGTTTCTCGTCATTGCAAAATTCATAACTTTCTCAATTTTTAATGTATCAGGGAAATTCTTTCGGCACTGTGTCACAAATTCCGTCATCGAGTTTTTATTTCAGATTGCACGTCAGGATTATGCACTGAAAGTGATGAGCTTGTGGATTGTTCTCGCACCGTACACCACAAATTTGTTTCAATGCAATTTCATAATCACTTTTGTCATTTTATACAAAAATTCTCTCAAGTTTCTCTCTTCTCTCAAGAAAACTCAAGAAGCAAAAGTCGCAAACTCTTTACTCTACCAATAACCACCACCCACGACCCATAGTTTCGGATACATAATCATCGGACCTCCCCTAGCCCGACCGTTTGTCGTCGCCCTTCCCGATCAGCCAAACGGCCTCCGCTCGGCGAACTCCCTCCGAGCCCGATCCCTCTGCCTTCACACCTCTTACGGCTCCTCCCTCCGCGACATACTCCCTTTGTCCAGTTCTGATACTTCCTCTGTTCTTCGGTCTGATCTCTTTGTGTCGTTTTTTGGTTATCTCTTGATTCCTAACTTGATTCAATTGTTTTTGTGCAATTTAATTGTTGAATGTACTTGAGATTGCATGAGTTAATTGTTGAATTAAATTGAATTTGTGTTGTTTAACATAGTTTGGGTCTTGATTTTGAGATAAGGCTTTATTGGAATTAAGTGATTTTTCTTAAGTGATTTTTGAGATCTAATTAATTATTGAAGCTTGATGATGAATAAATGCGGAATTGATTGATTTAGTTGTTGTTGATTGTTGAGAATTACGCGTCGGAATTAATTGTTCAATTGTGTTATGATTTAAGCATCGTAATTTGTTTCTGATTCGATACTTGTTAAAATTTGTTTAAATTCATGAATCAGAATCAAATTTCGAAATGTTTACTTGCCTTCCATATGTAATTAACTTTGCTTTCAATACTTGGAATTGTTGCTACCGATACTGATTTCTTTGATACAAATTATTTGTGAATTCTGTTTGGTTGTTCATGTGTCGATGTTTGGACTTTGTGCCTTAAAACGTTGTATTCGAATCAATTTTTAGCAAGCTTCGACACTTGAACCATGGCTTCCTTGAGCTCCCAAATGTGTTGCAAATTGAGTTTTAATTGTTGTTCGATGCATAAGCGGCTTTATGTTGATAATTATTTGATACTGGTATCAATTTTGTTCAATTTTAAATCAACTTTTTATGCATTTCATTTGTCAATTCAATGTTGTTCGGAAAATGGTTTTTGCATCTACATTGTGATTTAATTCATAATTAATGCATGCTTGAGCTCGTTAACATATTTGGTTGATACTGGTATCAAATTCGATTGTTTTTAAGCCAACTTTTTGCGCATTCCTTAAGATACAAAGTTGTTGCCCGGAGATGGTAAGTGTGCTTAGTTTGGTGATTTAATTCCAATTTAATACATGTTTGAGCTTGTTGGCATTTTGGTGGTTCTTGTAACGTCCGCTTATTTAATTAATTATTAAATTAGGTATTTTTGATTAATTTCAAATTATTTGTTGAAATGTGTGAAACATTGTTATATGTTTCTAAGTTGTTATTTGGTTGATTATTTTAGTTGATTAATATTAATAAATAATATTAGAAAGTATACAATATTAGTAGAATATTAGTTTGACCTATTTTGATGGTTAGTAGTAGTAATAGGCGAAGTGTGTAAGTTGAGCCCATTAGGAATAATAATATTATTATTAGGATTAGTTATAATAATAAGAAATTAGGTTAATTAGAAAAATTAAGAAAGTCTTGGAGCATTAACGTAGGAAGTGGCAGAGAAGAGGAACATGGAAAAGAGACAAAGCTAGGTTCGATCAGAAATTTGTAGAGTGACCTTCAATCCGAGGTAAGGGTGGGGTTCTGACTCTACAATGAGAATTATGATGCATATTATGTAGGAATTGGGTTAGTGTAATGTTATTGTGCATATGTTGTTGTTGTTTCTGAAATTGGTTGTTATCATGTTGTGGATGTTCCAGAATTGTTTGCAGAGTTAACTATTTGTTGTTGAAAATTATAATATTGTTGATATAGTCGTTATGTTGCTATGTCAAAGTAATACTGTGTTGTATCATGTTATTGTTAAAATATTGTTAATCGAAGGAAGATTTGGAGATTCTGTGTTTGAATCAGTAAGTCTGTGAAGAAGCTGCGCGAGAAACACTTTATGTTGGGGGAACAAGTGTTGTGTCGGACAACACAAAGTGAAGGAACATGCTGAGGGGCACACGAGCATGCCGACCGACATGGTATGGAGAGGAGTATGGCGAGCGGAACAACTCTGTGGCAAGCGGAATGGTTTGTTTTATTTTGTTTTGGGGGGCACAATTGGGTGACGAGGGGCACACCCTAAACATTTGTGTTCAGTTTTCTTTTGTTTCCTCTGTTTCCTGTGTGTTTGTTACCTTATTCTATTAATTGGTTAATAGCAGAGATTAAGTACACAAATTGTAGAACTGGTGTATATAGCAGAGTAATGAAATAGATGATTGGATTGGATTATATAGTTAGTAAGTATTTAGCAGGATGGCCTTACCAGTAGTAGTAGGAAAGTAATAACAGAAAATCCTCTATAAATTAAAATAGCAGTAGAGGTGAATTAGTGTCAGAAAATAATAGCTTCATTGATTCAAC